AGCCTCTATGTGGGTTTAAACTCCCAACCTCTCGGTTATCAGCCAAGTGCTTAGCCATTGCACTACTGTGGCTTTTATAAACAATCTAAATGTTCCATAATATTACTGAGATTATGGTAAGGAAAAAATACTGCATTATCATATGTATTATTGCCTGTTGTTGTTAAGAGCCTTCAAGTCAATTCTTATTCAAAAGAGCAACATTTACCAAAGGACAAAGTTCAGAAGGGTTGGGAAGGAAGGTGGAATGAAAAGAAGAACCAGAGAAAGGAAGTGGGATAACTGCTGTTATGTAGAGGGAAGTGCAATCATTGAAATGAAACAAAGTGATGAATTATTTGTTGGATGTAAAGCTGGTACTCTTCTCTGTAAACCTTCACTCAGTTCACAAGACATTATCAAAAAGTTGACCAGTCTGGGCTACAGTAATTAGAAAGGCCAATCAAACTCTCTCTCCCTCCTAAATTTAAAAAGAGAAATGCTAAAGAAATTAGTCAGGAGGAAAGAGAGGAAATTAGAAGAAAGAGAAACTGGAAAACCCATGAAGAGGAGCTGGCAATGAAAGAGTGGCATGGTCATATTGACAATGGACCACTGACTGGTGATACAGCAGTAAGACAACAGTGTCTCTGAAGTCAACTTTTAGTCTGAACAATGGCAATTTTGAGTTCCTCTTGAGATTTTTATCTTTCCTACCCAACCTGAATCAGACACATCAGGCTGAATTGTCACATATTGCAGTTGTTTTTTTAAGTTTTTATTATTAATTAATGATAGTTTACATGGGAGACCATCACGTTTACACTCATCCTATCATATTTTGTTTCATTGCAATGATTACAATCCAACAGTATTTGCTTCTATTTCCTCTGTGGGTTTTTTTGTGTGTGTGTTTGTTTTTGTTATTTTTCATGTACACAAAAACCCTCAAGAATATACAATCATTTAAACAACCAAAGGGCTCATTCTGAAAACCTGCCTCCTGGCCACCAGCACAGTCTTTCTCTTTCCATGAGTCTGGAGTCCTCAGCTGCTCTATTTCTCCATGCCATCACATTTCTGCCTC